CATTGTACTGGAAAGAGAATGCATGGGAATCGTAGGCGGAAATTCGACTGTCACTAGCGGAGCCTTTAAAATGCCTAAATCAAAGAGCCGTACCACGAGAAGATTCAATGGCACAAATCGCCACTAAAATTAAGGGAACCCTTCCTTCTACCACCTTTAACAAGGAATATGCGACTGACTTAAGAATTGGGAATGTATTGCATTGCAAACTACCTTCACGTTTTTGTCCAAACTGTATGCATCTAATCCACACACTGACATCAATTCCGTAAAAAATTACACTGTGTAACAATTTGCTATCTCTTCCATAAAACATCTTTTTCCCGATTGGTTTCCAACCAGCTCCGAGTTGGCAATAATCGTTTCAACATCACCCACGCTCTTCAATTTGGTGAGGCGTTGTGTGCTCCTTATGTTAACCATACAACCGACTGTCAGTGCGAGTTTAGTGTAAATCAATGTGACTTCATTATCAATCTATTTCCAACCTTCCAAAACGTAGTCACGGTTAATGTAAAGGCTCATAACATCTTCATTTTTGCTTTTCGTTACATTAAATGCATCACATTGCTTGGCTATGATTGTCGAACTAGACTCATCAGTAGTATCGTGAGGATGAATACGATTGGGTTCCTTTTGCCTAAATCAGTCTGCACTTTTCATGGCAGCTCAGCCACCTCGTGGCTCAAAGTGGCGACTTTAGTAGGAATGCAGTTAGTGGATCAACTCACACATTTATGCGGCAAGATGAATGCAGCTGGCACGGGCCGAAGTACAGTGAAAGTTGACTTGGTAAATTTTTTAATGATCTAAACATAACCATAAAATTCTCTCTTGGGCTAAGAAACAATACAGTGTCCTCTTAGAGACTACCGCCTTCGCACTTTTGCCCATAATTATTAGGAAAATGAAGAAAAAGCATTCAAGTTTGGATCGCCGAATAACTGTGAATCACTCTGGTTCTAATGTCATGAAGGAAGGATCATTTCTTTGTTTTCTCTTAAATGACTCATTCGTCGAAACTTTCTCAAGAACTTTAATAGTAACTTGTTAGTACAAAAATCGAAATTGCATCTTTGAATAGCCGGGTAAATAATTCCAAGAGCTTTCGCAGATGCCGATCTACCAAGGGTAACAGTGGCTATCTTGATCAGAATTTTTTAGGTGCAAAGCCACACCATCGTGTGCAGTTCATCTCAATGGCCTTCGCCGCCACCTCTCCTGAGGTCGCAAACCAGAAGTACCGCTCCCTTTCCTCAGCTCGATGGCTTCTGTTTGTGCACGGACACTGCTGTGGCAGATTTTAAGGAGGAAATAGCGGTCCGTCACTGTTTAACACTAAGGAGCTAGCTACTTTGTCTATTTCAACTGAACGTTTTTCAACATTTAACGCCTATTTTGCTTGACTACTAGTAATCATCTTTTGCTAGAGAAAAACTTTGTGCAAGGCTTAAAATAACGACTATATTTACGCTTATTAGAACAGAGAAAGTAGATTACAATCGCATGGCCATAGAAGTCCGATAGAATTAGAACCAAATGTGTCGACTTGTAAAATCGCGCTCATGACGATAGTTTGTTATGAAACCGCAGAAGACAGCGGTGGCGAATAGGTGAGAGACACGGACGAGCAGTCCGAAATATCACTTGATGCCCTTGAAGTGATATCGTAGATGGTTACTTTACTATAATCCTCTCTACACGCACCGTCTTTGGAACATTTAACACGTTTCACAAAGTACAACTCTGGAGTATCAAAACGCTGTGTCCACTGGCTTTTGGAGGCACGACACTCGGACTGCGAACGCTTTTGCAGCCCGTTCCGCACGACCTTGCTGTGTGTAGCCTGTCTTTTCACACGGACTGGACTTGCCGGTCGACTTGGGTGCATCTCTTGTGGTTGCACTTTCAGCTCGTCTGCAGTCTGACACTGGATGGTTGGAACAGTCCCTACCGATTGTTGAGACGGTAGAGAAGACTCCAGTGGTGTCCGGTTAACCGTATGGCAATTAAAAAGGTTCCGGAATCTTTCCAACTCATTACAATCGATGAAGCGAATTAACATAAGTTCTTGCTTCCTTCCTTTCAGCTTTCGCGTCATAATAATAAAATCTGATTCAGACATTCGATTAAACTTATGTAAATCCTTTCTGTTCAATATAGCAATCGGTTTCTTGTTCGTAGGTTTTCGAAAAAATACCTTCTTCTTGGTGACCTGAAGTACCAGTGGGTCAACGGTTGTGTTTGATGTGATTCTGTCCAAAAGATGTCGAATTTCTTCATCTGAACATTGTGCAGGCAAAGGACTCCGATGAACAAGATCTACCTCAGCTTCCAGTTCGAGAGTCTTCTTGAGAAAGCTTGGCATTGATTGTGAGGGATGTGAACGCTTACTCACGCCATTTCGTTCCTGCCTTTTATACAGATGAAATGGAAATCGAATCGGATAGGTTGCTACTGTGCGGTAGTAGATCCAAAAAAGTACACACCGCCCGGAATTTTATAAGAAAGTCAGAAGAATCACATGTAATTCGATATGGATTCTTTTGGAATTTCCGAGTCTCTGCAGATAATACGCCTTGAAACCGAGCCTAGCAAGTGAGGCACCGCGGAATTAAAGGATGCTTCCAGATCCTTGCATAAGCGAAACATTTAAAACATGGCTATACACCAAGCAACCTTTGGCACACTCTGATAATTGTACTAAAATTAGATTTTCTTGAAGGTGACATCCATCATACACTTTAGTCTTAACGTCACAACGATCACTCTTTTAAGTAAGTTGTTTACATTCAAAATCTACTCCAAAGAATCAAATGGTCGAATGGCCACTAAGTGTTAATGCTCTAACTCCTTAAGATTATTACTAGCACAGCACTTTTGCTTATTCTCTTGGTGAATAAAGTGTTCCTGTTTTGCACTGCTGGACTGAGGCACACAAACGCCATGAGGGCACAGACAAGGACAGTCGTGACTGAAGCTCTCACTCGAACATGTTTGATTCCGCCACTAAACAATGGTCAGATGTGATGGCACTTCCAGCACGACCAAGTTTGCATTATTTTCGATCCACTGCATTACTATAACATTTTACTACAAATGCTCCGCATAGCAAATTTGCGGCGCTACTTTTAATGGTAAGTAGCACAGTTGTGAATTATACCTGTTTAGAACAAACCCCGAGCCCTGATTCCGCAAAACACACAACTAACCTCCAACTTCCCCGGCTCACTCTCAGTTACCTACTGCCTGCTCACGAATTTATGCTTTCATATGGGCAGTGTGCAATATTAGTGGAGGCATTAAGCATTCATCTTTATATTTGTGCATTTTAATGTTCCTAGTTAATTTTAGCAAAAATCTGCTGTTACAGGTTCTTACTTTCTCCTAAGTAGTTCGCATCAAAAGGCCATCTCCTTTGCACCCTGGCGCCACATAAATATCAATTTCGAAATCAGTCAGCCGTTCAGAAAAAAATGCTGCCTTTTAAATTCGTTGGCGCTATTTATAACCTTGGTGTTTAGCGAACCTATTCCATCCCACCTTTAAAGATCTCAAAACCCGTACAACTTTGAGTTTGTAAGTGATGCTTGACTTTATTACGTTTGCCGTTGGCCCTCATGAGTATGAATGCAAGATTATTCTACCCTTCATTTCTAAAATCAATTGATGTGCTTGCATTTTCTCTGCAACGATGACAGCTCTATGTGTTGCCATGGTAGCCACTGTTGCCTTGGCAACTAAAAGTGGCATACATTGTTCTTAGGT